TAGACACTCCAGTCTTTTCGCCTTTTTCCTATTTTTTTTTTGTTGTGGTCTCTATAAAATTAAGCTTATTTTACATTAGCACATCTGTAGGCTTTTTGATTTTCATGAATATGTGTCTAGACATAGTAATGCAGTCATCTTTAAATTTACAAGTTTTTTATTTTATTTTAGTGGATATTAATGGGGCTGTAAATAGATATACGAAATGTATGAAGTGCATAATATCAGTCGTCAGGGTGATGTTTGGTTTTACGTACCTAATAAGAAGTACTTTATTTCAGACATGTAATATAAAGCAGGGCTGTCATAAACGGGAACTTTATTTATTTATTTAGCTTTATTTATTCCTTACACGCGTCATAAACTGGAATAAATACCATTGATTAGAACTTAACTTATTTTAAAGTTAAAGGAGTTATAGTCGTTTCGTCTACGTTTTAAAATTGCGTTTTGATTTTAAAGTTTAGCAAAAGATGTACCTGCTTTTCTATCATACATTCGGTGTATATAAAAAACACTTTATAATTTATTTGGTAATTTAATTATTTTTTGAGAAAGACAAAAACAAGCAATAAATATAATTAACACTAACTTAATAATAGGTACTAATTATAATTTAGATCATAAATGAAAAACTCATGACGAGGAAAGTGGCTCAGGAGTCAGGGCCATGCTTTGCGGCTGTCTGTGGAGGAGGATGTTCAGTAGTGGACTTGTGAAGGGCTGTAATAATGATGATGATTCGAAAACTTGCACGATTAAATTATAAGAAGTCGATGTGCTTCATTTTTTTCATACTTAGCTATAATTAATTGTTTAATTTTAAAAGAAAGATCGAACTGCTTAAAACTAAAACACAGTCGGGTAAGTAGTAAAACGTTAAAATAAAATAATTGTTGTCGTTTGCTTTCATGCTTGTGACATGCATGATTCAAAATTAAAAGTGGTTACGAGTTTATTACTGTGCCTCTAAGGCCGGTTTTAAAGCTCGACAGACCGTCGGTGCGTACGTCGGTCTCGCTTGCCCTATTGTACGAAAATTCGCAAGTCGTTACAGTGCTCGACCGACCGTACGCACGGGTACGATCGGTACGGTCCGACCGACGGTCCTGTAGCAATGCGTACGAGGACCGTCGTACCGAGCGCGTCCGCATGCGTACCGTCGGTCGACCGACGGATTATGGATATGGAAACATATTGACGCGTTCAGTGCTACACCGACCGTACCGATGTTTGTATCATCGTCAAGAAAATCGAACCTAAATTTTAATGATATTGTATGGTTTTATAGGTATTAAGTAGTGTTAATGATTTAAGTAATTTTTATCAAACATGGCATATGTTGACACCGAACGCCTCGCGGAAGTTTTAAGTTGTCTTGTAATTTCACTGAATTCATCAAAACTTTATTTTTATCTCCTAAAGTAATTAAAAATATTTTCTTAAATTTTTGTAAATTCCCCTTGAAGTGCTCTTTGGGCGACGATTGGTTGAACCTGATGTCTACGTCTTCTGTTCCTTATACGTTTACGAACATAGTAAGCAGCAATTAAACAATTAACGCGTCCATTTCGTGTACGTGTTTGTGACTGTACCAGTCCGGTCAGTTTCGTTACTCAGAAGAGCACTGAACGCTACAAACTGACGATCTGTTATGTGTATCGTCAGTACCGATGATACGCACCGACGATCGGTCGAGCCAAAGAGTATAATAAGTATATACAGGGGTCGAGCTCTTAAACCGGCCTAAAACTTTCCAACAATAGATAGATACTCCTACCAAAAACTCATAAGGCACAACCCTATGCTATGCTGGCATTAGGTACACAAAAGGACGACGTTCTGTGCAGGGTGGCTGGAGTTTGCACCATAACGCCTTTTTTGCTTCGCGTCGTTTTTAAAATTATTCTCGTAATAATTTGATTGTAAATAAACGTTCATTCAATTTTTTTGATAAATAGCTCATCGATTAAAACAAACTCTTAAAAATATTGTGCGATAATTAAAGTAGAAGAAATTTTTAAAATTGATATTGGCACTAAAAAGGTGGTAATAGGGTAACTGTAAATTTAAATAAGGTGCGTGCAATCACTGTGGGAGCTCGTAGCGTAGTATAATGGCCATTAGTATTGGCCAGAACATTCGTCACTATGTTGGCCAACGTACTAAATCACGTAGAGCGGGTGTCTGTGCTTATCTTGGTATGTAATAGAACAATGGTCCATAAGTTGGCGCGAGATCCGTGTGGTGTCGGTTTTTACAAAAGATCAAAGGATTGTGCCAGAATTTGGTCGCTACGTCCATACGTTGTGACGTTGGGCGCGCGTTTAGTTTGCTACGAACTCCCAGAGGTGATCACACGTACCTGATTTAAATGTTATATTCACGCTTCGTAACTAGTGTTTACAAAATAGCAACAATGACCAGTGAAGAAACTTTTCGATTTATAAATCTCTACCGAGCCGAAAATTGTTTGAACTTTGAATTGGAACTCAATAAATAAAAATCACAAAAATAAAAATTCTAATAAAAATAATAATTTCTAATACACATTCACGTAGTAGCGGTATGCTGTGAATAAATAAACCGCAGCAGCTGTTAGCGCCTCAATATCCATTTTAATAACTTCGTCCGCACATTGGTCTGAGCCGAAGCTAACTGAACGACCTTCCAAGGTGTGGACGCCATCACAAACTCTTCGCTAATTTGAAACAATATTCGCCACTATGTTGGTCAACGTGAAGAGCCGCCTTTACAACACCATAAAACTAAGTTTTTTTTTTAATTTAGTAGCGCTGATTTGGAGCGTTGGTTTATAGTTAGATTGAATTCGCGCAGTCCCGTGCGATGCAGGATTGGGCAGTTGATCGAACCTGTGATGGCAGTAGTTTACTTTTGTTTACAAACTATAGCCCCAGTGACGTTTATTTTTAAAGTAAATTCAGTTACTACAAACACAATACAAGCGAGTTAACTTTGGCAGTAATTCTCTAAAATCACACGAGCCGTTCACGTGCTAGTCTCAGTATCTTTCTAACAGAGCCAATAGGCATAAAAATTTCAGTCGGAGCGTTATACTAAATTCACAACAAAATTGTTTTTTTGTTTTTTATAAACAGTTGAAACGGGTTTCGTTTAAGATTATTCATGATTTATCAACGTAAAATCATTAAGCGTCCGACGTGGCAACATCACAACATTCCTTTTGGTTTGTTAAAAACCCAAAAAGCCGTAAATAGCTTCTAATGTTGGCTGAACATTGACGTCAATGTAGAGGCAGCCTAATGAGAGCATCCGCTAAGAGACATCAAAGTAGTATTAACATATCGTTGAACATCTTTCCAAAGATCTTCACTAATGGTCTTTTTGATAACTTCAAACAATTATAATTATGTTCAATTCTCTCAAAGAAACGTTGCAGAAACGGAAAAGAAATATGAGGGTACATTAATAATATACATATATATCTACTAGGGCGATCGTCTACCGCCTAGGTCATGGGGACGTCAACGAGAAGGAGATTATTTCTAGAGATGGGCCGAATATTCGTTTCATTCGGCAGCTTTACCGAATATTCGGCTAAATCATCGAACATTCGTTAAAGTGGTACTCAAAATGTCCACTGTATTGAAATGTACGAATTGCGTAATGCCCTGTCTTTTATAATTTTACTGTTGAAAGTATATTTTATTTATGGGTTAAATCTACTTGTATAGCGTTATGTTTTTGAGGTGCTGTTGATTTATTTCCAACTATAGCAAATAGAAAACTTGAAAAAATATTTTTGGAATCAAACATAGTTTTTCGGAAATAATTCCAAATAGTAGATCTCCCACTCTGTCACTCATTTTTATCATATAATTATCAATTTTCACCAAGAATAACACAACGAAATACTTTTTTCTCACAAAAATATTCAAAACATAATCATGTGCCGACAATTTGTTCATTACTAAATTATGAGCGAGGGGCTGGGTCCGGCGCTAATCCCGCGCGTTTTACGGTAACAAGTCTCGACGTAAATTGGCTAGGTACCGAAGTGATCTTACCGAATAATGTTCGGCCGAATATTCGGGTCGGTAAAAGATTTACCGAACTTTCGGCCAATTGTTCGTATTCGGTGAAATCCATATTCGGCCCATCTGTAATTATTTCTGGCCTAGATCAAGATGACGTACGGCGATCGTTTGTCCACCGCCACGATCTCGGTGGTTCAGTTCAGTCAGTTTCACAGACAGTTTGTTCAGACAGCTTGTTGTAACTGTCGTGTGTAGTGTGTAAAAATAAAACAAACTAAGGAATGGTTCGAATGCGTAGGCAATGCTCAAACTTTTATCTTTGGACACATCCTTGGTTTTATCCCCAGAAACATTCCTTATTTTTTACAAGTTCTATTAATAAATAAATATCGTATTTAAATTTCTTGACCACCTTGATAACAAAAAACGGTGCAGTGCGACGTCACGGTGAGGTGTCGGCGTGGATAGTACAGGTGTACAGTACAGGTGGCTATAATAAAGTAAATACCTACATGTGGCGCTACCTCGGCACCGTCATCTCATTCTTGTTGACGTCCCGGTGACGAGGGCAGTGGATAATCGCCCTTTGTCCCTATAAAAAATCCTTAAATTCGCAATTAAAATATTAATGGCTACTTATAGGCATAAAAACTATCCTTGCGATAGCAATATAAGAGCAAGATAGCAGATATGCTATCTTGCTCTTATATTAGTATAAGCAATACATATTTAAAATTTTTATTAAATCGGTTGAACGGTTTCGGATATTGATATAGTATTATGATATACACGTACAAAATACTGTCTGGTAAGGTACTGTATTGCCAGGGTGAGATATAGTTTTATAAAAAAAACATGTTTCATATTTGACAGAATCAATATGATTACAAATCAGGGTTACAAATTTAATTAAAGGTGTTAAAAATACATTTTAAAAATTTTAAAGTAAGGTACAATAAACTATCACAATGCCTTATCAATATGGGTGCTACCGTAATTTCAACATTGGTACATTCGCGCGGTGCCCCGGTGGCTGCGACAGACCCATGGCGCGTTGCTGTCAACCCTGCGTGCAAGGATGCTGCTGTTCACCAACAGGTCCCTGCTATAACTGACACTAGATAATCGAACTTGTATGTTCTAAACAAAAATAAAAAATAAAGTAATCTACCACGTGTTTCACTTAATGAAATCGTAATAATTATAAAATGTCATAACGTTTTAATTATAGCCTGTAATTATACTACGTCTGTATTCCCCTCAGGCCAGATGACAGCACTGCAAGCACCGCTATTTGGCGCTAGGATATAGGTAAGAGGCAGAGACGGACTCGTAGGCAGCAAAGAGTATATAAATCACTATGTATACATATAGGCAGAAAAGTAGTCATACCATTGAAGCTGTATAATAGCTGCATTGCGAATGGAGCAACCACAGAATATGTGTATCAAGAAGTTGAGCATGGTTTTAACGCCTATTTACCTTTCTTAGTGGTCTGAGTCACATCTAGACGCTCAGCAATGGTGTTAATGAGCACAGAGAAAATATTCTCACAATGTTTTCTAAATACTACGAGTAAGTTACTACGCGTTCGGCGGTAAGGAAAATATTGTGGGAAACTTGCATGTCTGCAAAACTTTAATACTCACACAATATTTTTTAATTTATATTTCATTTCATTTGATCATACCGCGTGTGAACTGCACACATGTTTTAATACGAGTTTTTCCGAACCCTCCAGCTGCCTTCGAGACCTTTTGAGAAACTATAGTATTTAAATAATTTTAAGTATACTGGATATTTTTTAAGGTCTGTAGTAAAATAGGGTGTAACAAGTGAACGGAATGGAAGCCTATGGCAATGATATTTTACAATTTTCATTTTATTTTACATTAACATATTATGAAATTGTTCATCAATAAATACTACTAATTCAGTGCGTATTACTTTAAATTCAATAGTTTTTAACTGATTTATTTATTTATTTAGTACAATTTTTTTTTGGTACCGAAAGTTAATTTCAAATTAGAAGTGTTTATTAATAGATCAATTTCATACTATGTTAATGCAAAATATAATAAAAATTATAAAATAACAGTGCCATAGGCATTCCTTTCACCTGTTACACCCTATTTTTTCCAGATGCTAAAAAAATCACCCAGTATAGATAACGATGTCAAGTCCATAAATATAGTGTAGTGCCGCGAAATATTTTCCGCTGTACAGTGTACACACCCTCTAAAAACGAGATAGAAGACTTTTTGGCCCCAGCAGATAAATGTATGTAGGTTATTCTTGTATATTACTTTTATAAAATGATATAGTTGCGTGTATCTGTGAGATATTTCATCGAATTTTCGTTTCACAATGTTATTACTCAACAAACCACCTTAAAATGTCCCCTCCTTATCCAAACAGGATATAATAACAAAGGTCTGCTTAACCTGGTTGGATTTTGTAGGGTGGAATTTCAAAGAATAAGCCTGGTAAACAGGGTTCAGGGCGCGTCTTCCACGAATGTATTCACTCCACCCACACTGTTTCAGCTGTTTATTGTTAAATGTTTATCAAAACGCGATATATTTTCGAAGGTCTTTAATGTACTTGGTTTTTCTGTGAAATTTCTTCTTTATATAAGCGACATTTTAATTTATAATAAGTTTTACGTGGTAGAGCCACGCTGCAGTTATATTATGGTTGTAGCAGGGGTCGGCTTGACCTGGGATGGACCACGCTCTCACAGAATATCAGTGTAAAATAGCAGCTTAATGCTGCTGTGTTTCGTATGGTGAGTGTAGAGAACCGGAGACACGTTTTACTGGAATCGAGGCATTCCATCTTAATCCTCAAGAGTGACAACGCATCTGCATTTTGATTCTTGATGGAGGTTATAATATGTAGATGTCTATGGACCTCAGCATCCACTTACCATCAGATGGACTATGTGCTCGTTTGTCACCCTTATCCTATTAAAAAAAAATTGCCTATTTTACATCGGTTCAATACCTCGCAAAGTTATCAAAAACCACTAATATTATGTTCGGTTCGCCTGAATTTCACTTCAATAACAAACACAAATATTACCAACTTTGATCAAAGCTGCTATGAAAAATAATGGTGTATCGAAAATATTAATAATTTAAAAATTCTTTATGTTAATTACTTGATACTAGGACCGCTTTTCGGTCTAGGATTCCGTCTTCGTATGTACGAACCTCTTATCTATTTCTGCCGCTAATTGCCTGCTGCATTGTTGTGTTCTCTCTGTATGATACTGAGAGCCAGTTTAATTGCAGATTGTGAGGCGCTCCATTTAAGTTCTTACTGGTGACAACGCATATGTAGATTTCCTTGCATGAAGTTAGTTTCCGGTGTTCATGACATCCGTAGCTACTTACCATCACGTAGACTATACGTTCATTTGTTACTTACTTCAGTTTTTTAAAAATACAATTTTAAGGGCCGCGTTAGGTCAATGGACACGGGGGGACTAAGTCGATTTTGATCCCCGACTCTACACCGCGCCAACAAAATTTATCACAGCGTCTTCTTATGTTTTCGGTAATATATTACATTCGTTCGTCATAATTAGCAAATACTGTCATCATCATTATCAACTTTCAATCGTTTAACCGAAAATAATAGCCGTTCTAGAATAAAGCTTTCAAAACAATATTTAAATATCAGAACAAATAACATTTAAAACTCCGTGCTCAGCATCGAAACTATTTCATTCTTGTATTTTTTAACTTTTTATAAGCCAATACTTGACTGCGATCGCACCGGATGATAAGCGGTGATGAAATCCCAGATGGTAAATCACAATGGTATAAGATAACAAAAGCCCATTCTTTTTTCAATAGAATAAGGGTTACAAACGAGCACACAGTCCACCTAATGTTAAATTTTATAAGTTTTAAAGAAATTATACGTGGTAGTATAATTTAAAAAAGCCTATTCACTCATTGGCAGGCAAAGAGACGCCGGCAAATTATTCCACTCCTGTGCTGAAACAAATAAATGCGTGAAACACCAACATAAAGGTGCGAATGCCCGTAGATCGTTTTCTTGTACGATGATGGAAAGGGGAAAGAGGAATTAACAGAAGGAATCAAGAGCAGTTCCTGTGTACATCTACTCTCCAAAATACGTCCTATAGAACACCGAGGGCCTAGCTTCTCTGCGCCTGTACTCGAGGCTGACAAGATTGATTTCAACCAAATTAACCCTTTTGCTGTCTCGTGCGCTACATATAGGTCACTGCTATTGCCTTACTATTGTGCCTGAAAACCGGACAGTGAAAGTATTAAGGTCATCAAGAAGCCTCTTATCACACCTCTCCACTGAGTACGGGAAATATCTAAAAGTTTCTGTTGATGTTACAGAATTCCGTAACACCTCATGCAGCATGCTACGTCATTTCCAATCCACACCATATCTGATCGTTTCACTGTCGGGCTCTCAAACCGAGCGTTACTTCCGCTCGCCACTCTGGCGTACGCAAATTAATTTTAAGAAATATTACAGTCACCGAATCTAAGCGCTTTAATTTTTAACCTTACACTTAGGAGATATTTTTGTGAGTTAGTTCAATAGTTGGTCCGTATGTTCATTGAGTCAAAGTAAAAATATTTTTATTCGAAATTGGCCTTTACAAAGCACTTCTTAAATGCCAAAAAAGCTAAGCTTTTGTTTCAACAAGTCCCTACTACGGGAGATCATGTGGAAATTAGTGGCTATAAACATACAATTACACTATTTTTTCCCAAACGTAATAATATTAAGTATATATATTTATAAAATATATCTAATATAATAACTTAAGAAAATCTCAGAGCCCTCGTTACATTCAAGTATTTTTGTCTTTTAACTAATAATAAAAATAATTATAGTTGACTGCACGAATGAGTGTAGAGAACTGGAAATCCTTTTTACTGAACAGTAATAATTTAACTTTATAAAATATATCGAAGCAAGTTAAGAAAATCTCAGAGCGCTCATTACATTCAAGTATTTTTATCTTTTAACCAATAATAAAAATAATTATAGTTGACTGCACGAATGAGTGTAGAGAACTGGAAATCCTTTTTACTGAAAACGAGAACGAGAAATTCTATCTTAGTCCTCAGGCATGACAACGGTTTACCCTTTTGTCACTCTTATTCTATAAAAAAAAAACTTCTAAACATACGGAGGGAGACCCCATAAATCGCTGGATAGGGAGAAAAAGGTATTACCTATACATAAAATACCATCATTATTGTATAATGACAGCTCCGTGGCGCAGTGGCATAGCAAAGAGTTGCAGCGCTGAGGGCTGTGGGTTCTAATCCTGCACGGAACTAGTATTTACAGCATACAAATAATTATTTCGAGTCTGGATGTTTGTCATACAGGAGAGAATCCTAGTTTGGGGGTAACTTGTAAAAAATATATACATCTGATATAATAACATATCTGAATTAAGGTATCATGTCAAAATTCATGTTATAATGGACTGTGTTGTATTCCAAAGATGTTCCCGAAACAATTTTTTTAAGGCTGCCTTATTTGGTGCAGTATCTCACACATCACAAATTCTCGAAATATATTCAAAGGTGATAGCTCTGTTCCGGTGAAACCAAGTTTCTTATAAACGTACTAGGAATTAAGCGTTTAATATTATGAATTGAATGACTGACAATGTTGAATTACCCTTGTTTCGATTGATAACCCAATTTTTTTTTCGTTTTTTTGTCGTTTATATAATGTACTTCAAACTGAATTCCGGTCACGCCGGCCTGTCTCTCCGGAGACCAGCCATCTTCACAGGACAGGGTAGTGCACAAATGTGTGCGCAAACACAGGTGCACTCACTATTCTCTCACTCAAAAACGGAAACTTTTTTATGCAATATAGATTGTAAACAATTCTTATTGAAAGTCACTTTTTCATTTACCACTGGTTCGCAAAAAAAACCTCTGTCCTGGAAAGAACCAGCAAGAAACCCAGCGGGACTATTTTTTTTTCTAGCTTTCTAATAATAGCTTGCATTATACAATTAACAACACAAAACAAATTAGAAATAGCTTGGTAGCGATCACCCATCCCAGGGGTTATTGTCATCCGTAAATTCCTTAATATTATAATAACTCTTTTTATAAAAACTTAGTTTAATAAAATTTTTGAACTTTGCCTATGACAAATTTTTATATATTTTCTGGGATTTTGTTGCAAAAGCGTATACATCGCTCCAAGAATGAATCACTGACTCGGTGGAGTCGAGTAACTGGTACTACATCACATAGTCCAATGGGATAGCAATCCGATACGACCGGAGAGAAACCAGCATCAACGACTTTACGGGTTGCTTTGAACTAGAGTGAAACTCCGCCAACTACCTTGCTGGTAGTGATTCCGGGCTGCTACGGAGAATTTTGTTGATAGAAAAAACTCAGTAACTGATTTTCGCGCAACCGAACCCGAATGAATTTGGTCAAACCCGGGTTCAGAAATCGTCAGCCACGCTTGTGATAATTAGACCATGCAAGTAATTTATAAGTATTGTATGCAACAGGCTTAGACCATTCACCCAATGGGTTTAATGGTCTAAGGCAATAGACAAGAAACTTGCATCATGTAACGCGAATATAATATAATTCGATTTACTATTAACATATAAATACATTACTTATACTACATTAATTGTATCCTAGCTTTTCCATTGTCGGATAAGGCTAGGAAACTTTATAAACTTGTATTGTTAAGTATTAAGAACAGGTAATCTTTTATTATTGTTTACGTGAATTTATCATTGTCTGATTATGTGTTTAATTGCGTACCTATGAGGGTGACTTGATCTAGTAAATCAAACCCTCTATAATAAATAAAGAATTTAAAAAAATACATTACTCTTTTGAGGTGACGGTTAAAAAAGGGACGGTGTAAGGATATTGAGCAATCAATACTTTGTAATTAAATTGGCTATTATTATATATTATTATCAAATAGGTGTTAATATATTTTAATAATAAAAAAGTTAGATGTTGCTATAGCGTTATAAGTGGTTTTATTATTTTAAGTTATCAGGTAGACGTCGCCGCTATTCTCCAGTTTCCCTCTGTCATCTTCTATGAGTTTATGACACCCACGGAATGATATTGGGTAGTAAATTCTCTAAAACTCAATTATTCTTACAAAAATAAAATGCATGTAAATTGATAGAAAATAACTATAAATAACGAAATTGATTACCGAAACTCAAAGTAAACAATGGAAAATTAAATATCACTGAATTTATTCATTTTCAAAAAAATTATAAAATTACCACTGCAGTGTCAAACTTATTAAAATAAAAACACATAAATTAACGGCAGCATCCTGAGCGGAATCGCCAGCTGTACGTTCCAAAAGGTCTTCCGCAAGGGCCTGTACACACTCCACAACAGGGTCCACAGAATGGCGCCGGCAAAGAAGCGCAGGCAACCTGTCCGCAACACGGCACTCCACAAGAAGGACACGGCATTTTCGATTATTTTATACAATTAAAAGCAGGTATTTTTAATTATTTCTTTTATAAAAATTTGTATTTAGGCTTATGTCACTTTGAATTTTAATTTGACAAGTCGTGCCAAATGTGAATTTAATAGAAAAATTGTTTTTAAATTTAACATTTATTGTCACAAAAGGCATGTAATTTTCGTAATTAATAAAAAGGTTAGGTATAGCCATTCAACGAGGAAACGCAGCCAGCGTTCTTGGCACGATAACACGGATTTAAGTTGAATAAAACTACTTTTAAGAATTTTATCGCGCTTAATTTAGTTGATTTTAATTCCCGAAGTTTCAGGTGCGTTCCAGCACCCATGATCACGGGGAACTGAGGTGATTGACGTCCCGATATCAGTGTTAACCCGAAGTATCTTTGGCTTTTAATTACTAATTATGGTCCGATCTATGCTGAATGAACTTACTATGTCCTGAATTCTTGCAGCGGTATGCTTGGGTTTGATTTCTTTGGTTTTATTCTCACAAACTGCAGACTTGCAGAGTTTTGTGATCATATCCTAAACGGCCCCCGCAATTACATCAGATCTCGGTAAAATACATTAATTCCTGCCAAAAATTATACGTGAGGATATCGAGATTAAAAAATACCCTAATTTCAATAGAGAAGGAGGCTGGGTACTACCACCTGCTTGGGATCCTGTAATTAATACAATTAAAACTTAACCCAAGCATACCACTGCAAGACTTCAAGACACAGTAAGATTATTCTAGATCGGACCATAAGTAATCATTAAAAGCTGAAGGTACTCCGGACTCCGGGTGAACATTCACATCGGGTCGTCATTTACCTCAGTCCCTCGTGACCATGGGTGCTATAAAGCACCCAAAACATCGGGAATTAAAATCAACTAAATTCAACGCGATAAGTTTCATAAAAGTAGTTTTATTCAATGTGTAGTGTTCGCGTAAATATAAGAAATCATTAAATATTTGTTAGTATAAATATTTTTTAGTTTTTAGTTTTAGTAATTTTATCATAATTTTTAATATTGTATAAATATGTAACGTGCTTATTATTATAAAACCAAAAAATATATAGTCTTTTTCAATTTTGCTTTTTTATAAATGACACTGACACAGTATGTCATTCGTCATTTTTATAAAAAAAATTCAGGATTGACAATATCCTCCTCCACATCCTCCTAAATAAAAAAATCTTAAATTTTGACTAAAATTCTTCCTGTTAATTCTGCATACAAGTAAGTGAATTCATTACTTTATTAGTTAGTAATTTATATAAAAACTTTATATAAAACTTATTTATTATATATTATAAATCTAACGGAAAGAGTTCCTTTAGGAACTTTACTTACTCTTCTTCTTATTCGTCTTATTTGCGCCACCTCTAAACGGTGTGCACGAGGTAAGATGAGAGGCCGCGAAAGTGTCTACGCAAGTAGCATCTCACTAGGGCTTTACCTCTCTTCAACAAACAAAATCATATCGTCAGCTCTTTTGTCATTATCCCTAAATATCCCACAGGGCTCTAAAACCGACGGAACATTTATAGACAACTAGAAAATAGGAGCCCTTCGGGTGACTTCGTTCCAAGAACCGTGACGGGAAAACCTACTTACACTTTTCTTACATTAAAGTCCGTAGAGCCCAAATTCGTCAACGCTGCTACCACAGGGCCATTGATGGGGTTGACAAATCGCCGCTCCTGGACGAATTCCTACGGCGATTCGCAAGCTTTCCCCATCAAGCAATTTGCCCAGATTATTTGATGGTACTACGTGTTACCAGTAACTTTATAGTCGAAACAGCAAGAAGGCGAACCTAATCTTGGCCACTGTGGAAATTGTGCAAAAAATCTTTCTGCATACTACACCGTACCAACGGAATATCTGAAAACTGTTACGGAAAAAATGAAAAAATTGTGTCATTATGGATATTACTAATAGAGTTATGGATTTCTACGGTAGACTGGAGTCGAAATACTTTCTATGGCATCGTTTGATATGTATATGTAATCCTCTTTTTACCTTTAAACAGCCTACCGTCGGTACAAAGGAATCCGGCAGTGAAAATTCTCATTCAAAAATGTTTAAAAAAAAAGTAAAAAATGTAAACAAATCTCTACTGCACTCAAAAATCTCTATATTATATAACTTCGTATTGACGTGTTATTCTCTACATCTTTCCTGTTCAGAAATTCATTCATCTGTTTTTAAGTATATTCTAGAGCTTTAATTTACATTATATAGTGGTATCATTATTTGCTTTAGAAAATTGAGTGAGCAGTGAGTCCACAGTCCTAACAATATTATCAGACTCTACCTGACTCAACTTGAGGAACATGACATCCGCAGTTTAAGTACTCCTTCTATGCCTTTAGTTGACCCACTACAGCTAAAATGTTATTTCAAAATGTTTCTGTTCAGAATTAGGGAGTATTGATATTTCCTATTCTTAGTAAATCATCCAAGTCTGATATAATTGGATTATCGATTATCGTCTGTAGAGTCAGATGATTTCTTTGCTGTAACAAACTCCTACGCTTCTATGCGAGCTCACCCCGCCCAGACACCTACTTTTTCAGGTTTTATTTTTGCTTGTGTCCTTGTTTTGTAGACAAGGGGCATTTGCTGGGTCAAGTTTTAGTCGAGATCTCTTAATTATAATACATCTTATTCCAATTACTTTACGAGAACTAGACATTATTTTATTTACAAATTAAAAGTAAAGTACTCAAAATATATTATTCTATTTATGCGGGGGGGGCGGCGTTTGGGGCGGGTTTGACCGGGAATAGTTTTTCCGTCAAGAAATTCTCAGTAGTTGCCCGGAGTCAGGAAGTTGGCGGTGTCTCACCCCCGTGCCTCGGAAAACACGTAAAGCGCGCCTGATCTCTCTCCGGTCGTGTCGGTTTACCGTCCCATCGGATTATTAGAGTGAGGGAATAGAGAGTGCACCTGTGCTTGCGCATACACTTGGGCACTATAATCCTGTCCTGCGCCGCCGCCGTGGCCGGAATTCGGTCTGTAGGACATTATATAACTGTCTAAGAATATCCACTACCCCATATCCTTGGTGTCGTAAGAGATATAAATGATAAAAGGAAACTGAATCAGTTGAGGGCCAGCAATGTCTTCCTGATAACAACTGCCAAGCGTGGCAGTTATGGCAAAACCCCCTTTGAGGCAATCTAAGGGGGAGGCCTATGTTTAGAAGTGAACTTTTATCGACTTTAACGGATGGATGGGTGTATGGATTACTATAATACTAAGCTAGGATGTCATAAGAGTCTTATATCTCTATTTCGTGTTGTGGGTATCGTTGGTATAGATTTCCGATAGATGCCGCTATAACCATCTGGTTTATGCCAGACGGTAGTCGGGACACTACTCTTTTGTTGACGATATTCTGTTTGCTTCGTATTTCGTAAGGCGCACAGCAAAGGTGTGGTTATAGCTTGCCGGCGTTTGTCTGTCCGACCGATTACAACGTGACTTCAAGGCAAGACTGAATAAGGTTTTTATTACGCTGAGATATTTACCAGGTGGTATTTTGTCATCAAGTACTGGTTATAAGTTAAAAAAATCATAAAATACAAAAACGACCTAAAACGGAGACGGGCATTAGAGTCAAAGTTGCACGACGTCTGGCACTGCGGTCGTCAATTCGTCTGCGAAGCGTGATGATTAAGGTACATCCTCCTTGCAACAGGAGAGGCCCATGGTACTTTTTAACAATCACACTCATTATTTCACTCTTCCACTGTACTTTTGCCCTCCTGCCATTCCATAAGTCCACTGCTGAACATAGGACTCCAAAAAATGCGATAAAGCACGAACATGAGCCACCTGAACCCATCGACCTCCTACATATCTTACCAGGTAGTCACTCCGTCTAGTGGACGGCCGTCCTACACTTCGCCTACCGGTACGACACAATCGATCCCCATTGCTCTTTTTTTTTTAAATCAGTTTGGTTCCTTGATAATGTCGTAAGCCGTAAACCATCAGTTAATGTAACAAAAACAGTCTATATTAATGTCATTCCCGTGATAAACTTACAATTTTAAAACATATAGGTCTAGACTTTAAAATGCCAGTACGAAATTGCTGTCTCGGATGCCAGGGTCCAATGCAAGGCCCTTGCGGTCCTTGCAGCCCTTTCGGATCACGCTTCGACACCTGCTGCCAAGTTGGGCCGTGCTGCGTTCACGCCATCGGCGCTAACTGCTGCAGTCCTTGCGGGGAACTTGGCTGCATTCATGGGTGAGTAAACCTCAATCTTATAACGTTATAATTTTAGTGTTGCCATAAGGGTGGAGCTAGAGATTCCGTCGCCTTCTTTGAGTATTAAACCAACATCGCTTTAAATCATACCGTTTATGTCGTAATAAATTATTTAGATAACTACCTAAAGATCTCATGTGACATTCTTATCACCGTCTCGTTTTTTCCAATGTAAAAGCGCCAATTATTCCATCGCTCACTCAGGAATAAAGGAAGGACTGGGCCCAGCTGTGAGACGTATGAGTATAACATGCTGTAACTTTATTTTTATAGAATAAAGATGATAAATGAGCTCAACTGATAGTAGGTGGATGGTGTGGCAATCCATACTCGAATGTGTCATACTTTAGACGCGTTGTCACTCCTGAATACTAAGATCGTGATCAGTAAAAAGGGTCTCCGGTTCTGTACACTCGTCTTCTGCTACAATCATAATATAGCTGCGGCGCGGTTTTACAACATTTAACATAAACGTACATTACAAGCATTGTTTTTTATACACAAACCTAACAACCAAAACCAAACCTAGCAACCGAAACAACCGACTCTAACACAGAAACGACCCTATAGAAAAGACAACGATGTCGAAGGCACAAAACATTGAGTTATACAAATCTAGGGGAGCAAACCACATTATCGCGCGTCGAAGTGTAACCACTATCCAACTGCGGTGACGTAGCTTTGAAATTACTTAACATTTTAAATAAACGTAGACAGAGAAACCTATAGACAAATTGACGCCATCTTTCGCATTCGCACACGAAAAAAATAGATTTATACATACTTCTTGCATAGAAATGAGACAGAGCGTTTGTTTGTCCCTTTCTCCGTGACGGTTTTTTTGTTTAGCAAACTACACTTTGCTAAACAACTTTAACAGTTCGTAGCGATCTAAGGAGTTTACAAGTTGGTTTAAGTGAGAGTATTTTGTGAGCTTAAGATTGGTGAATCTTGTTCAGTTCAGTTCTCAGAACAATTAAAATTTTTATCTAAATATGTTTAAAAGTCATATTCATTGTCAGATTATTGTATAACCTAAAACTAAATTATCGTCCTTTCTCATCCGAGGCCACGCTAATCATTAGTCTATAGGTTTCTCTGTCTACGTAAATAAACATATATCTGTCTCACTCACACAAGTTGCGAAAATGAATTTATAGTCTACATATTAATTATTGTTTTTCCGAATCAAAGTAGAGACAACAACAAAGTTATTTAAAATTAATTTGTTAACAGAGCACGGTGCGCAGTCGCTGGTTCATACTTCAGCTGCGGACACGGGTGCATTGGGGGCTGTACCGGTGGGCTATGTGCTTCATGTTGCGGTCCCACCTGTGGGTAAACTTCCTTCTTCAAATGCAAACCAAATTCATTGTTAATGTGAAACTATAAGGAAAATTGTAAAGTAAATAATTAAAGATATTGTCCACTGATATATTATGATTTTATTTTCATGGTTGACTTGAATATCTGTAAGGTGTAGAATTGGTTTATATCCTCCTATATTTAGCCACGATGATAACTTTAAAATATTTCGGAGGCTGTCAACTGTACCACGAATAGATTTTACAGAGTCAAATATCACGGACTTTGTTTAGAACAACTGTAGAATGAATTCGGGAAATTGTAACAAAATACGAGTATTGTAAGGGCTAAGCGCTCGATAAAGGGACAAAAGGGCTGCTTTAACGACGCCATTTTGACAGTCGACATTTTAGTAAAAAATTCGATTTTAGTATTGTGTAGTGTAGTTAGTTTTTTATTTTGTTTTTCGAAGCGCTCCTACTTATAGCCAAAGTTTATTTACTTAATTTTTTATTTAATTTTTTTCTTAATATATTAGTTATGCGACTTAGTGTTTATGTCGCTGTCCTCCTGCTAGTTCTGGTTTTATAGGGCGGAAAAGTTTAAGTTGACCATATTACCCTCAAGTACTTTAATAATATTTAGATTACCTTATCCGGCACCAATGAAATTGTTAATTGCAGGTTTTAAGTGCTTTGATTTACACCTGCTCGACGGTGTAGGAAAATATCGTGAGAAAACCTGCATGTCTGTGAAATAAGAAAAAAATATTTCGAAGACATGTGAAGTCCGTCCACACGCATTGGGGCACCGCGGCGGACAATTCTTTGCCCTAAAACCCCCTCAGAAAAATAAATGAAGGGTTGCCTGTGCGCAGCAATGGGACGTATAATATAGGCTGTAACTTTAACGGGTATTTACGGGTTACTTTATCCACAATATATACAATCCAAATATTTTTATTCCAGACGGGATGGATAATCGGAATTCACTTTTATTTGTTCTCCCGACTTTTTACCTTAAGTATTATTAATTAATATTTAGTAACTACAAACTTATTTAATGACAACTTATTACGTATTGCCATTACCGTCATAGCCTAGCCTATGCATTACTTATTGCATTTAATATAGTTTCCTGAATTACAACACTAATTTTATTATTGAGTAGAGGTCATTTATCGTGTGTGGCGGTGTAATAATATCCACTACCCCATATCATCCTGTGGGTGTCGTAGGAGGCGACAGAGGGAGACAGGCAGGATATTGGATGGGCAGCAGCATCTTCCTGATAACGACTCGAAATATTTAAAAACTGCGATTGACTACCCGCCTGCCAAGCGTGTCATCATCATCATCATTACAGCCATTCACAAGTCCGCTGCTGAACATAGGCCTCCCCAAGGAATGCCACAAAACACGGTCCTGAGCCACCTGCATCCATCAACTTTCTGCATGTCTTAACAGGTCGTCACTCCAGCTAGTGGGGTGGTCGCTCTGCCCTACGACTATCGGTACGAGGCTACCACTCGAGAACCTTTTTTCCCCATCGGTTGTCGGTTCTTCGAGCTATATGGCCGGCCCATTGCTACTTCAGCTTACTAATCTGTTGGGCTATGTCGATCACTCTGGTTCTACTGCGGATATCCTCATTTCTAAGTTTATCACGCAGAGAAACCCCGAGCATAGTCCTCTCCATAGCTCGCTGAGTGACCTTGAACTTCCTCATACGGCTAGCAGTGAAGGACCACGTCTCAAATCCGTAAGTAATCACTGACAACACGCACTGGTTGTACAATCTAGTTTTCAGGTTTTGAGGTATACCTGACAAGAAGATGTGTAAGTAATTTTCCGAACGCTGCCCAGCCAAGTTGAATCCGTCTATTGACCTCCCGTCAGCAATCTATGGGGGAGACCTATGTTCAGCTGTGGACTTCAATAGGCTGTGATGGATGGTGATAGAGACGACCTTTCATATTTTGTATAAATTGTACACTTGAAATGCATATTTGCAATCGTTTTCTAAAATTTGCTACAACAGATAAGTATGGATCCGTAAGTTAACTAAAAACGGGGCCTTTTTTGCAAGCACTCCAAAAACGTTACTTTTGTCTTTAACTTCATTTTAAATTATTTTGTGGTACTTTTATTTCAGCGTTAACCTCTCAAACAAAAAGTATTCATATATATTTATTGGTAATGTCTCCTAAGTATCTTGGGCCAGTTCTTATCGTTTCTATAAATGACTGTATACAGCCGAGGGCGAAAATCGGTAGAAAAATAATATGTATATGAATTCCGATAATCCACCCCGTCTGGGGTGGATAGATGGACACGCGTTTTCGAGCATCCAATCTAGGGTGGTTTTTTAAAGTGGCTAAACAGAATAACCCCTAAAATCTTAACTGGAAAAAAGTAACATTTAATTTAATTAAGAAATTTTTACTAATATATTTAAAAAAATGTACGGATCGAGAGACCACAGTTTATATATTTCTTTCTTTTGTCTTTAACACCTTGTATGTTGCTACTTAATAAGGATTATTCCGTTTATCCAGCCTAAAGAATCCCCCCCTAGGGTGTATACTCAGAAACGCGTGTAAACTATTCACCCCAGCCGGGATGGATAATCCTAATTTACTTATTTTTGTTCTTCTGACTTCTTACCCCAAGTTACAGTTCAACACATTAATTTATTTTTAATAACCATGCTGTTACAGCCTAAGTCCACGAATTATGTATTGCATTTAAATCAAATTAAACACCTATAATACTATTGCGTAATTTTACCAAAACATTTCATTATCTACTCGAGACGTAATTTGATATTCTGGATAAATTCGTTATGTACTTTTAATGTACATACATTTGCAATCCTTTTTAAATTTAGTTGCTACCACATGTGTGTTAGCGAAGAACGTTGTTTTTCAAGCATTCCAAAAACGTTACGATTGTAGGTTTGGCTTACTTTTATATTATATTTTATATTATTTTATGCCAAGATTGCAATCTAATCCTGTGTGGTATTCCAACGTTGAACTTTCAAAAGAAGTATGATTTTTATAGGTAATTAGTAAGTATCTTGAGCCAGTTTTTATCATGTTGACTGTACACAACCGAGGGAGAAAAATCGGAAGAAAAATCTGTGTAAAAGTCTCTGTAAAAAAACTGGGGCGGATAAGCGAACACGCGTTTCCGAGTATCTACCCTAGGGTGGATTTCTTAGAGGGATAAATGGAATAACCAAGCTTTGCAAATTCTTTACTAAATATTTACCATATATCTTCATTTTCAAGATACTTTCAGAGATCTGGCGGATTGACTGTGTGAACTGAGAGACCACACTTTAAGGACTAACTTTTATGTTCTTTTTAAATCCTAAAGGTACCCACTGATGATATGTCCATTTAGTATACTTCCAAATGAATGCACTCCAAATAAAATTGTATCCAGATACGGTACCATTGACGATACTTCCGTTTGGACGCATAGCGTCACTTCGAACTTGGCGGTTGTACGGTATGCAAATAAATAATATGAATAATAATAATACTATTGGTGACTGCAGCAGCGTGTATTTCATTAAAAAGACAAAAAACCTAAACGAAGCAATCCATCGTAGTCTTCAAAGATGACAACGCATCTATATTTTGATATTGAGGATACGTGTAAATGTCAATGGGCCACAGCACCCACCACCAGGTGAACTGCGTGCTAATTTGTCACTGCCATTCCAGATATGGTATAAACTATGGTGAAGCAATATCGTTGACTGAGGTAGAAATTAAAAACATGTAGTGGATATTTTTCATTATAACTATACGTGGTAGAGCAACGTTGCATCTATATTATGGCTGTAGCACAAATGGGTCGGCTCGAACGAAGAAGGACCACGATCACATAAAATAGTATAATAAGTAAAGAACCAGGGGCTTAGAGCATACATTACATGGAGGGAGCACTGTGTGAGCAGAAAGCGTGATCGGCGTAGAGAGAGAGAGACTGAGTTTATGTAGAGTCTGTCTCTCTCGCACAGTCACTGTCATTGGCTGTTTCATTGGGCATGCGCTATGAACGCAGTTCAGCTGAATACAATCAGAAGCATGTGCGAGAGAGACAGACTCTACCTAAACCTTAGAGCACCGATCACGCTTTCTGCTCACACAGTGCTCCCTCCATGTAATGTATGCTCTAAGACCAGGGGTGACAATGCATTTACATTTTGAATCTTATTCGATGACAGATTCAGTCTATGGGCTACGGTATCAACTTAACACCATGTGGACTGTGTACTCGTTCGTCACCCATACCACAGCCCGTAGTTTACATAGTAAAAATATATTTAATCCTATACATAGTTTATGTTTGACAAACAGAGCACATGCACCACCATCAACATCAAAACATTAACTGACACAATAATGTCCAAGTCCAAGAAATGGACGCCGGTTCGCTCATTCACTAACAATTCGGACTGCTTCCATTTGGCGTGGCGCACGTTTTTGACATTGACATACGGCTGTGGATATCGTCCATTTGGACTGGACGCAAGAATTTCAATCCATTTGGAAATCCAGAGCTGGATGAAATCCATTCAAATAGAATATGTTATTATATATTTACCATTCACGGTGCGATTTTGGACGATTACCACTCCATTTGGATTAATGGACGTATCGTCAGAGGGTACCATTAGAAATTAATTTCGGCAATTCCCGGCATGGTCCCTCAGTGCTCACATACATAAACCTAGCGCTCCCACAAGCCTGCTCCTGTTCACGGGTATGAAACGAATGTGCTACATGGATGTCGCCATTAGCATTAATATAGATGAATATATACTTTTAAAACGGACAGTGGAGCATGGGGAGATTTAATTGTTTACGAAATTTTTCACGTAACCTTGGCTTATCTTAACTAGATTCCACATAGGTAGTCTTGAATATAAACTTGGTAACAGTCGTTCCTATACCCACTTTCCTAAGATTGGACCCAAACTGGTATTTTGGCCTACAAAAATACCGAATAAAAAGAAAAAAAAATATGTAAATGCTATTTTATTTGTAACATGTTCA